TTTGCATTAGAAGGTATGAAAAACAAAAATTACGGCTTAAAGCCTCTGAAAAGAACAAAGAAATTTTATTCAAGTGTTTGTTCTTGTGAAAGATTAATTAGTTAGGTATATTATAATTATAATAATTATATTAGTTATAGGAATACTAGACCTGTTTCTAAAAGGCAATGCTCTTTTACCTATTCTTTTACAGGTACAAATAACACCTTTTTAGGCATTTAGGAAAATGTTTAAAAAAATAAATGCAATAATGCCGAAGACATCGAGAGGGAAAAAGGAATTTGTGACAAAAATATAAAAAAATTAAGAAACAAACTCTAGTTGATAACATATGTTAGTTAATGCTTGATATACATAAATTATGGCTTCAAAAGGAGGGAGCTATACTCAAAAATTTGCATGTCCAGAAAAATTTTGCTAGTAAATGGGTGGGAGGTGGGGTCTCGAAACTTTTTGTAGCATGCATATAGTTTACCACAATGCAATTGTTTTTACCTACAGGGTGTATTTTTTTATTTTCCTAAAAAATGCCTTTTAAACTTGTATTACTGGCAAAAACTGTTAATAATATTATAATAGTATATTTAATTTGAAATACCTATAGATGGCCATTCACAGATGTTTTTGTCCCTGAATTTCATTTTGCTTTATGTTTTATAGTACCTATATTTTTGAGCCGAAAAAGAGCAAGCATATAATTTAGTTAATAAGTTAAAATTTAATTAGAATTTAAAATTCTTCAAAAGTAATTAAAAAATAAGAAAAATATTTTTTTAACACAATTTTGGTTTTATTTTATAATCCTTATTATTTATTAAATAGTAATTTTTTTAAATTATCTAGGTATTATATTAAAAAGTTAACATTTATGGAAGGTATGTATGTTTTTAATAATAAAAAAATGAATTAATAAATATTTTTACCCAACTTTAATGTTAGGGGTAATTATTTTACAATGAAACCAAAGAAAGTAAAAATCAATTGATTTCAAGCATTCAGCTTTTCAATCAGACAAAAAAACAGCAAAGATATTTGATATAATTAACATGGCAGTAATTTTATCTTTAAAAAAAGTTATTTTTTAATTATATCTATACTGCCCAACTATGGAGAAAGGCAGTATCTGCTAAACAAGAAATCTGTGGAAAATTGGCATAAACTAAATTTTTATAAAAAGCAGTAGATATTTAATTGATTTATTTAACTGCATTTCTTAGTTGAATTAAGATACAAAATGTTCGTAGCTTTATCATAGCACAAGAAAACGCATTAACAATTTTTTTGTAGTTACTGCCTTTCTCCATAGTAGGGCAGTATAGGTATGTTAACCTTCTGAATTTATTTTTTCATATATATTTACAAACAAAAATACTGTCTATTTTTATCAATATTTTAAATCATTTGTTAACGACTGATATAAATTTTATCAACCAATTTACATTTTAGAAGATTTTATTGGCCCAAAAAAAACAATGACTTACATTATCAAAATTATTTCATATAGTTAAAAGCAAATGTCACAAATGTCAAATAAATCTTGATGAAATTTTAATTGTTTTATGTCTAATTTAAAATGTCAATGTATAGAAACGACTTTTTTATTGAAAATATAAACGTTACCCAATTTATTTTTATAAAACAACAGTTTTTAAAGAAAATTACTACGTGGCCATGTCGTGCAAAACATATATATGTTTTTGCACGACATGGCAACGGAGTAATTTTCTTTAAAAACTTTTGTTTTATAAAAATAAATTGGGTAACGTTTATATTTTCAATAAATATATATATATATATATATATATATATATATATATATATCCACTGATATGCTTAATCAGTTGATATAAATAAATGAACGTTTATGCACACGGCCCTTAATGTTTTGTATTTGCACATTTTTTACACTAGTGCTTGCGATAAAACAAATTTATGAATGCATTTTTAAATAAATGTAAAGAAAGACCATACTTTCCTATAAGGGCATATTAAAGCCTTGTATAAAATTTTATGAAATTAAGAAAAAAATAAAATTATAAAACAGCATAATATGCTAAATATTATTTTTTTATTTTCATATTTATTATTATTTAAATTTTTATAAATCCACACTTTTCTCAGTAACGTTTCTTTGAAATAATTTTAAATAATTAAGATTATGTATAAATACATTTAAGACAAATTTAAATATTTTATGACCTAAATGGTATTCTGCAATTTTACCGATAATAAAAATTTAAAAATTATTTTGTATTTGAATCAGATAATTGTATTGTCCTAGTCACAAGTAAATTTAATACAGTCTAAAGTCCTGTACAGTTTAATTACTTTCTAGGTAAATAGAAACTTAAAGATCATTTGGCTTGACTTTGACTTTTGACCTGCGTTAACTTCAGCCCGTGACTAAAACGCCATAAATCCACAATTTTTTAATTTGTATTTAAAAGTTTACTTAGTGTCATGGAAACATGAACGGTAATGGGCGGTTCAAAAGGTAGGAGTAGAAAATAGTTATTTATGTCATTAGGTTAAGAAGTAAGGCTTTTTGAGCTAAGCTCAAGGTTTGAGCGAAGCACAAAAAGGCACTTCTTGGCCGAATGGCATACAACATTTTATCTTCAAAACACTTTATATAGGTCAATTTAATTTAACATCAAAGCGGCCTAACCTCACTTTTTTAGAATCTCATTTATTTATTAGCTAAAGATTACATTAAATGTACAATAATAATTAAAACTATTGCTTTTAGAAGCAGTAATAGTTTGACAATACCTAGCTACATGATTTAAGTAGAAATGGATTTTTTCTATTACATTAAATTCAATTAATTGTTTAATAAATAGGTAGGTATCTAATTTCAATTTGTTAGGATTTTTATTTTAAAAATAGGTAGTTTGGTATGTTTAAGCTGTATTTAACATTTTATTTCATTGAAAACTTAAAGCAAATTAAAACTTAAAGATAATTTAATTCGTAGAAAAAGAATCGTGCGTTTTCTTGGTTGCCCAACCTCACTTTTTGTTTTATTATTCATATTTAATTTTACAATAATTTAATGAAAAATATTAAACATTAACAGTAAAACAAACAAATTAGTGCTTATTATATATAAATTAAACCAGTTTAGTACGTTAATTTCTTAGAAAAGGATTAATTTGTCAAAACAATACCCCTAGCGAGAAAAAATCCAACTAATTACTTGCCTCATAAAATTTTTTATCGGCCTGGGCCATAACAAGGTATTTCTTTATCGAATGTTGACAACAATAAAGTTTAAATTATAGACCGCGTGGAGATAAAAGTAATTACGTAGTCTACTAGAAACATTTATATTAATTATTTTTAAAACAAGCCTTCATCATTAAATTTTGGACTGACTTTAGCATAAGAACAGACCCAATAGTTATTTATGTCATTGGGTTAAGAAGTAAGGCTTTTTGTGCTTAGCTCAAGGTTTGAAGGCCGACGCGTAGCGGAGGCCTACAATTGAGCGAAGCACAAAAAGGCACTTCTTGGCCGAATGCCATACAACATTTTATCTTCAAAACACTTTATATAGGTCAATTTAATTTAACATCAAAGCGGCCTAACCTCACTTTTTTATAATCTCATTTATTTATTAGCTAAAGATTACATTAAATGTACAATAATTATTATTGCTTTTAGAAGCAGTAATATTTTGACAATACCTAACTACATGATTTAAGTAGAAATGGATTTTTGCTATTACATTGAATTCAATTAATTGTTTAATAAATAGGTAGGTATCTAATTTCAATTTGTTTGGATTTTTATTTAAAAAATAGGTAGTTTGGTATGTTTAAGCTGTGTTTAACATTTAATTTCACTGAAAACTTAAAGCAAATTAAAACTTAAAGATAATTTAATTCGTAGAAAAAGAATCGTGCGTTTTCTTGGTTGCCTAACCTTACTTTTTGTTTTATTATTCATATTTAATTTTACAATAATTTAATGAAAAATATTGAACATTAACAGTAAAACAAACAAATTAGTGCTTTATTATAAATAAATTAAACCAGTTTAGTACGTTAATTTCTTAGAAAAGGATTAATTTGTCAAAACAATACCCCTAGCGAGAAAAAATCGAACTAATTACTTGCCTCATCAAATTTTTTATCGGCCTAGACCATAACAAGGTATTTCTTTATCGAATGTTGACAACAATAAAGTTTAAATTATAGACCGCGTGGAGATAAAAGTAATTACGTAGTCTACTAGAAACATTTATATTAATTATTTTTAAAACAAGCCTTCATCATTAAATTTTGGACTGACTTTAGCATAAGAACAGACCCAAAAGTAATTTATTTTGCTCTGTTGATTTAGAAAATTCTGGATAATTCATATAATAATAAATACCTATTTGTTTAATTTTATAAAATGTACTCGGAACGAAGCGAATCTAAATCTCAGATATTATTTTTGCCGAATTCCAATTTCAGTTAGTTTTTACTATGCTGCAATATCAGTATGCATGTTTGTATACATTTATTTATAAATTGAATTCATTTCAAGAAACAAACAGTTAAATTGGCTTTACTCTTAAAGAGGCAATTACGCTCAACTTTATGTGTATTGTGCGCTTTGTATCTAGGGATTTCACTTAATGTCTTATGATTATGGAATAAATTAGAATTTTTAGTGGTTGATAGTGGTATTTCCTCGCAATGCATTTAATTAAAATAAGCTGTATACATTTAAATTTTACAGTTGAACACTTTTTTACTTGAAACAAGGTTAATTTTATTACATAGGGTATTCCTGAACTTTAATAAATAATGTAGTTGTATACAGTGTGTCCAATTGAAAATTGTCATTAAAAGGATAATTGATAATTAAATTAAATCCTCAAAAGGTTCAAATATAATTTGTTTATTTAAAAAATTTATATTGCTAGGCGTGAACTTCAATTACTTCTCCTGTAAAATTTGATTTTGAATGCCAGGTCCTTTTTTTAAAATAAATGAAATATTACTCACCAAAAATCAGATTTAGTGACCTGAAAAAATAAAGCCATTTAAAACAAGTCTCAATATTGCAAAAGTAAAACCTTCAACAAACATTATAAGACGAATATTCTGTCAAGTGTAAATATTTCGTTGTAAATGAAGAAATTAAATTAAATTATATGCTGAAAGAAAATATTAAAAATTTGTAAAGCATAATCTTGTACTTTGCATGCGAATGTTTCGATGTACATATTTCGTTTTAAACTTTTAAATCTGACAACGCTTTAAATTATACGTAGTGTGCTTAAATATTATCTATGCCAAAACAAATGTTCTAGTTTTGTAAGAAAAAGTTTTTATACAAAAACTAAGAATATTAAAACTTGCATTAGATAAATAACATTTTTATAGAAAGACTACAACTAATAAAACTTGCATTAGAAAAATAAAATTTGTGAATTTTTTTTGTTAGGTTTAAAAGCGAGCATAAGTAATTTTTAAAGGCAAACTTCACAGGTGGAGCTTTTTATGTATGCCTAAGTAGATACTTAGCATAACAGACAATTGGTTTTATATTTATTTTACCCCAAGGACAGTTGACTGAAATTGGCTACTTTTATTAAATATTTTTTACTTCGCTTTCGACTACACCAATGATAAATTAAGTCGAAGGCAAAGTATACTAAAATTTTTCTTTTATTTATTTTTGGGGTTTAAAGCCTTTACACAGTGTGAAGTGTGAAGATAAAAACTGCACATAAAAAGCTAATAAATAACATACATAACATTCAAGGTACACTCAGGTAAATTATTAGTGGGTGTGTCAACACAATTTGTACCCAGTCTGTTATGTGACATGTCTTTTATTAATTACTTAGTTTTGGTACATAAAATTCTACTTTTATGTATAATATATCATGTTTAGATATGCATGGTTAAATGTTTTTCCAAATAAAAATTAAGTCAAAGACAGCTTAATTAATTTATTTATTTTAAAAAGTACTTAATATAAACAACTGACCAAATATTTATTTTTGAAAATGATGAGAAAATCCGGTCAAATTCCTAGTCACATTTTTCCTGGATATTTTTTCTTTAAGTCGTATAGAATTATGTGTCAGTCGGTGAAATAAATCTATTGTTTTTGTCTAGGGTCAAATACAGATATATTTTTACACAATAAAAAATTAAAAACATTTTCATTATTTAAAGATGTATCTTCTAAGTAAATCATTAAATAATATACATTGACTTCTGACAGGAAATTAAGGGTAATTTAGAGAAACAAAAATAATGGCCCATTATACAAAATAATTGGTCGTTTGATACAGACATAAGACCTATTTGTCATTTAGGATATGTTTGCCAACTTGTTTTCATCTTCAATGTCATCTATTAATCTTAAGAAGATGAATGCCCGTGATAAATACATCGAACATTTAATTTTGCTTTATTCGGTCTTTTGCCATTTAACGTAATAAATGATTAGGTCGGGGTTTATTTTGAACTTTATGAACTAATTTAGATTTTTAATAATAACAAGTAATTCAAAATTCAAATTCAAATTCAAATTTATTCATCATCATTAGGGTGTACATAATAACAAAGTGTTTTTTTTATAATAATAATTTCTAAATAAACATTTAATTCTTGGAAAGCACCCAACCATAGGATGGTTGAATTGTGCATTTTCCAAGAATAAACTGGATTAAACAAATAAATTAATAAAATTATTTTTAACATTTTTATAAAGATATAAAGATAAAACAAAATATATTCATGTACAAAAAGAAAGTCAACCAAAATTAATAAAATAAAGTTTATGATAAACAATGAGAAATAAAAGAAACAAAAGGAATCCAAGGGGATCTCAAATAGATTTCAAAGTAAAATGTGTATGGTACGGTTTATAATATATATTATGAAAGTTTATAAGAAAGTTTATGTAAAGGTATAAATGCATGGGCAACTATTTATTTAAAAAGCGTTTTTGTTAGAATAAATTGTCGCAAAACGTCGGCTTGTTCAATAAAAAAGTTTTAGTTTCTAGTCTATATTTATATTTTTTTTTAATATTTTTTAATTTTATAGGTATTTCATTATACAGCTAAGGTCCAAAATAAAAAACGCTTCTTTGTAAATGAGTTTTTTTTTAAAAACGGATCTAGTACGATAAGTATTATTTATGTTTGATAATTGATTAAAGTCATCATTTCGTATCCACATTAAGCATTCGTGTTTATAAAGGTTACGTATATTAAAAGCACACCCGCCAGATTGTACAACTCACTCGTAGAGAATCGTTTATTTTTTTTAACATCACTTTTAAAATGGAGTTTTGTGTTACTTCCAGCATATTTAAGCAATTACTAAAAGAACCACCCCATATTACAATACAATATCTCGATTCAACGAGTAATAAACGTTAATTTTGTTAAAGAAACGTATAACTAAAAATTAACTACACTCACGTGCAAAATAATCGACCCACACAAATTTTCGATGAATTTCAATCGCAAATAACTTTTTTCTTTGATGTCGGATTTAAACGAATATTAAAGAATATTGTAGATAAATTAATGGACAATCGCTCATATTTTAAAAAAATACTAAAAAATAGACGTACGTTTATAATATACAGGTTTAAACCAAAATATGTTTTTTACCATAAGTTTAAGACACTCTGTAGAGTGGCAAAACCGTAAATTGTTCTAAATTAAGTTTTATTTATCAAGTCACATCTATTCTTAACAGTTTTGTTTTTGGTTCACCTGGATATATTTATTTTTGTGGAAAATATGGATTTTTTTAAAAAACATTGCAATTTCCAATATTTTTCCTGTATGAAGAACTAAGGTTGCTATGGTCCATCCATAGCCTATGGAGAATGACAGTGACAGTTTTGTTGAATCATCTCATACTTGGACATGTCATATACAGCTTTCAAAAGCTATCAAATTGTTTTTTGTAAATTAATGTGTTAATTTTGAGGTGTCTTCTTACTTTTAAAAATGTCTCCGACTGATGTTGCCCTTTGTACTTTACTTCTTATGACATTTAAAACACTTGCCACCTAATACTGTGGCCGCCCATCCTGGATTAATTAATAGCTCTGGCAACATCAGTCGGAGACATATCCATTTTATAAAGTAAGAAGACACCTCAAAATTTAAACATTAATTTGCAAAAAACAATTTGATAGCTTTTAAAAGCTTTTGAAAGCCCTGTATGACATGTCCAAGTATGGGATGATTCAACAAAACTGTCACTGTCATTCTACATAGCCTATGGATGGACCATAGCAACCTTAGTTCTTCATACAGAAAAATATTGAAAATTGCAATATTTTTTTTTTAAAATCCATATTTTCCACAAAAATAAATATATCGAGGTGAACCAAAAACAAAACTGTTAATAATAGATGTGACTTGATAAATAAAACTTAATTTAGAACAATATACGGTTTTGCCACTCTACAGAGTGTCTTAAACTTATGGTAAAAAACATCTTTTTGTTTAAACCTGTATATTATAAACGTACGTCCATTTTTTAGTATTTTTTTTTAATGTGAGCGATTGTCCATTAATTTATCTACAATATTCTTTAATATTCGTTTAAATCCGACATCAAATAAAAAAGTTATTGGCGATTGAAATTCATCGAAAATTTCTGTGGATCGATTATTTTGCACGTGAGTGTAGTTTTGGATTTTAATATAAAAAAATTATGTCATTTTATTAGAAACAAAGAATCCCCAAATGATATCTTTTTACTTTAAACATTTTGGGATTTAATGTATCAAAATCAACAAAAGTTTAAGAAGCATAGATCAAATGTTTATTGTTAAAAACCACAAATGTCAAACTTAAAACTGTCTGGATTAAAATAGGTATACTTAAATTAATTGTGGCTTGGTTGGACAAACAAAACAAACTTGACGTTATTTTTTAAACCTTTAAAGACCTTAATCCAGGCATTTAGGTTCTCGCATGAAATGGTAGCAAAAAAACTAAGCTTATTGTTGTATTAACAGTCTCGACTCTTTTGTCCGTTGTTGTGTCGAATATTTGTTAGAAATACACACTGAGAGGTTGCGTGCTGATAAATTGGGGCTGTATATACGAATGCGAATTCGGTGTACATTGTGCACTTCACAATAGCATAAGAAGTAGGTTTGGGACCTACATATTGTAGTTGAATGAGAAACAACCTTTCATATAACTTCTATGCTGGAGATAAAATATGCTCTTAGCTCAGATTAATAGAATATATATTTTTAATTTCATTTTGGTAATATAAAATTCTTCTACTTTGTGTTAGTCCCAGATAAAGTATACTGTGCAAATTGTTTTATAAACTTAATTAGCCACTCGTTTTTATTAAACACTTGCTCGTAAGCGTCGCTTTTTTCTAACAAAACTTGTTACTAAAACAGCGTTTTATATTTTTATGAAGAGTCAGAGCGTTTTATTTAATATTTAAATAGGCCTTTAGATAATTGTATGTGCCCTTTGTTCATTAATTTTGCATTTTTGTGTGGTTTAACATTTTTTTTCTTCATATTTTCTTTATTTTTTATTTTATTTTATTATTTTTAATGTGCCTTCAACAGGCACCAGGCCCAAAAGTACACAATGACAAACACAAATAAACAGCCATACCCCTGGTGGGATTCGAACCCACGACCTCTCGGCTTTTAGTCCATAGTGCTAACTACTACAGCACTGAGGGTGTTAGTAATACATTTTAAAAATAATTTTACATATATTTATTTAAATTATTTTAAAACTTTTATTTATTTAAAGAAAAATGCAAATTACAGATGTATTAAATTAATTAAATATTTTCTTTTAAAGCTTCAATTCAACAAGGATTGTCTAAAACTAATTTATAGATTTTTGGTTAAATTATAATCTTCAGTTTCCAATTCAAAGAATAAAAATCGAGCAGCATTATCCACAACGACTTATTGTGGTTAATCTAAAATACGTCGTGTTAATTGCAGCTGTTAAATTTTACAGCAAGCCGTATTTTCTTATTGCAGTCAATG